TCAAGCAGTAAAGTTGAAGATAGTCCTGACTTGTTTTAGAAAAGTTTGGCAGTCACTTTCCTGTGTAACTGCATGTCCAGTTTATACAGCATATGGTAAACAGTCAAGACAAAAAGGTTCTTGCCCAAATGGCTAGCCTTCTCACATTGAAAGCAGACTCCATGTGGAGTTTCATTGATGCCCATCAGATATGTTTCATTGTCATGAAAAATATTAATTCATTAAACAGTTTAAATTCCATATTCTGTAGGTCTTTGAAGTATTTGAAACTCATCTGTCTAAAATAGACCTGTTTAACCTTGAAAACATACCAAATGTGACTACGTTTGATTACTATAGATTAACTATTAATTTTTTTCTTAAATAATTAGAATAATTGCATTTTCAAATAAGTGATATAAACACAATGCACCAAACAAGAGTAGGAGCATATACAGTATAACAAAAATGACTTTAAATTTGTTTTACTATACTGAAATAAATGGCAATACAAAATATCTGAGATTGATGGTAGCCTTTTAAACCTATATTCCTATATTCCTCTCAATTATAACAAACACCCATGACCCAAAAAATAACCGAAAGTTCCCCTCACCCAAACTCTTAGGAATGTAGGCATCTTTTTCTCTAGACAGCTTTTTGTTGTCTGTAGGTGAAGTTATTTTTAAGGGTGCCTGAGAAAATTGAGATAACTGCAAAATCCTGGGAAGACCACTGGTAACCTTAATTGATATATATCACCTGTCAAGACTCAGGAGGTCTTCTCTGATAAAACCGGATCCATATTAAACTGGAACAAATCCATAGCCTGCAGAAACAAAAGCAAAACTGCTTTACCAAAGCATTTTTTATTTCCCTTTAGCAAATACTTTTGACCTCTTTTTTAAAGTTAAGGTCATCCCCAAAATATCTAGGTTGGTTCAGCTTTGCAGTCCTGTTCACAATAGCATGTCTACCAGCAGTTGTTGTTTGCTTCTCAGCAATCAAAAAATTCTAAATCAACATAATATTATATATGATCCAGATTCCCTGTGTAGTTTCCATCATTGTGTGACTTTTTATTTTTTATTACTTTCACACTTTTATGACTTTATTATTTCTGAACTCTTTATTTCTTTCAATAACTATCTATACACCTTTTCTTTCTTTCTTAAACATGCAGGCATGGTTAAACACACTTGAACCTTTTTAGACGTATTTTAATGTCTGGACCTCTTTAATGCATATCTTTTAGCTTTTTTTTTTTAACCTATGAGCAAACTTTAATCTGCTAAGTTACAGCTATGCCCTCCGCATGACTCTTGGAGCTGGCTCTGTGGCTCTGGTAACTGCTTCTGCCCACTTCTTGGATCATGAAAGCCTGGTCTAAAGCTTGCTGGCTGGAGGGAGGTCTGTTTGATGAGGAATTGCATTCAAACCCCAGAACTCTAAAATGCCAATGCTTGTACTGTCACATTTTTTTCTTAGTTTTTTGTTTCAATTAATTGTGGAAAAGGCTGTTTAACTGCCCTGCTTTATGTGGCAGAGTTTCTTTTTTTAAATTTATGTATTTATTTATTTATTTATTATGTATACAATATTCTGTTTTGCGTGTATGCCTGCAGGTCAGAAGAGGGCACCAGACCTCATTACAGATGGTTGTGAGCCACCATGTGGTTGCTGGGAATTGAACTCAGGAACTTTGGAAAAGCAGGCAATGCTCTTAACCATTGAGCCATCTCTCCAGCCCCATGGCAGAGTTTCTTAAAGGAGACATTATCTTTTTTTCTGCTTTCTCAGGCACTAGAGATATTAATATCCTCTCATTGGTATGCCAAAACGTAGTTGGTTGTTTTCACTTTTTTGCTCTTTGGGAGCCTACCACTGAGATCCCAAATAAACACAAGGTGTCTTATTATTACTTATAAATGACTGCCCTTAGCTTGGCTTATTTCTACCCAGCTTTTCTCAACTTAAATCATCCCAACCATCTTTTGCCTCTGGGCTTTTGTCTTTCTCTAATCTATATACCTTTTTTGTTTCTTCGTGGCTTGCTCTGTTACTGGGTGACTGGCCCCTAACATCCTTCTCTTATTCTCTTGACCCTTGATCCTCTCTTCCTAAATTTCTCCTCCTATTTATTCTCTCTGCCTTCCAGCCCAGCCTATCCTTTCTTCTGCCTGACTATTGTTTATTCAGCTCTTTATTAGACCAATCAGGTGTTTAGGTAGGCAAAATAACACAGCTTCACAGAGTTAAACAAATGTAACATTAAAAAATGCAATACATCTTTGCATCATGAAACTAATATTCCATAGCATACAGGAATTTAGTATATCTTGAACTAAAATTTCACAACAGACAATGAACTAAAGAAAACTAAGGAAGGCTGAGGTGGGGCAGGAGGAAATAGTCTTCTTCAGTGATGTGTTCCCTAATTTATTATACAATAATACCACATGGTCAGCCCTGAAATCAAGTACATGCAAGTGCACTAAACAAACTCAGCAGGTTGCATTTATATATCCATTATGTGTGTCTGATTGGTCATCTCTTGGGTATATTCCCAAAAGTGGAATTGCAGGATCCTGAAGTAGGTTGACTCCCAGTTTCCTGAGAAACCACCACACTGATTTCCAAAGTGGTTGCACCCTCTTTGCATTCCCACCAACAATGGATGAGTGTTCCCGTTACTCCACATCCTCTCCAGCAAAGGCTATCATTGGTGTTTTGGATTTTAGCTATTCTGACCAGTGTAAGATGGTATCTCAAAGTTGTTTTGATTTGCATTTCCCTGATCGCTAAGGAGGTTGAACATGACCTTAAGTGACTTTTGGCCATTTGAACTTTTTCTGTTGAGAATTCTCTTTTCACTTCAATACCCCATTTTTAATTGGATTAATTAGAGTTTTAATGTCTAGTTTCTTGCATATCACCATAGAACCTTCATCCGGCAATGGATGGAGACAGAGACAGAGACCCACATTGTAGCACTGGACTGAGCTCCCAAGGTCCAAATGAGGAGCAGAAGGACGGAGAACATGAGCAAGAAAGTCAGGACCGTGAGGGGTGCGTCCACCCACTGAGACAATGGGACTATCTAATGGGAGCTCATCAAGGCCAGTTGGACTGGGACTTATGGAGCATGTGATCAAACTGGACTCTCTGAATGTTGCTGACAATGAGGGCTGACTGAGAAGCCAAGGACAATGGCACCGAATTTTGATTCTACTGCATGGACTGGCCTTGTGGGAGACTAGTCTGTTTGGATATTCACTTCCTAGACCTGGATGGAGCTGGGAGGACCTTTGACTTCCCACAGGGCAAGAAACCCTGACTGCTCTAAGTACTGGAGAGGGAGGGAAAGAGGGAGTGAGGGAGTGGGAGGAAAATGAGAGGAGGGAAGGAGGTGGAAATTTTTAATAAATAAATTTTTAAAATAACTTTAAAAAATTTCCCTATTTAATTTGAAACAGAGATTGAAAACCATGTTTTCTATTATTTTTACTTTCCATTCCCATCTTATATCACTCCACGCTACTTCTTGCCATTAAAATCATCCTTTTCAAGTCCTAAAATGGTCTTTGGACCTGACATTTATCTGAAAACTATGATCAAACCTCATTCACCATATAAGTCAAATTATGTGTGCACAATAAATAGACAAGTTCTGTGGCTGTGTGGTGTTCTTCACAGGAAGAAGAGACACCTCTACATTGTCAGTTTCAGACACAGAAATTACCCAGATATCTCTACTTTCAGTTTCAAACCATTGCCAGGGACAAGACCACCTTTCCTAGGTGAGTAGAGGGCTTTGGTTCACAAGACACAGGACCTCTCTTCTCTGCCCAGGTCTGTGAGTGTGCATGCTTATGCATGTGTTTCTAACAACTGTTTTCCAGGAATTGGGAGTTCTGTGTCAAGTTAGGGAAGTTCTATAACTATTTACACTCTAAGGTAATTCTAGCCTAAGAGTTTAAGTAGAATTGCTGAATGAAAAGAATAATTTTCTTGTCTACGGGGTTAATATTTTCTTTAACATGGTATCAAGTGTCTATTATCAGGGCACGTGGACTGAAGAGTAAGAAGTTGTGGTGTTGAGGTAAGAAGCCGTACCTCTTAAGCAAAATCTCTTTTGGGGATTAGAAGGGTAACATTTGAATGAGAAATCTCATATCTATGAAAGGTGCTTTTGCTTCTGAGATAGCACAACTTCACAGTCAAGAAGAGACAACTTGTATCCATTTCATCCAATTATCATAATCAAATATGAATAATATCCATTTTTAAAATCCAAGCACTATTTATTAAATAGCTACTCTCTGGGAACACTGATAAATAATATAAAATGTTACAATAAAAACATATATAAAATTGTTGATGAAAATAGTAACACTTTATTGATGGTAGTAAATGGAATATTACTAAAAGATAACAAGAAAATGTATCACAAAAATTCATGTATCTGACATGAATTTATCTTACAAAAAATGTGCTTCACCAAATAAAAATTATGAAGAGAAAATTGTACATGATAATGTTATAGATCAGGAAATCAAATATTTTTATCAAATATCTCAATGTAAGTAAATTTAAAATATTTATTATATTTTTGTGGTATTTAGAAACAATGAGTTTTTATTTTACAATAAAAATGTTAGTTAATTTCTCCTAGTCTTGGCGGAGCAGTCATTTTCATTATTTCACGTTTAAGGGAATTTTTTCTGTACTTTACTTGTCCAATATTTCATCTCAGTACAAAGATAGTAGAACAAATCCTGTATAATCTCCTGTATGTGTTCAGGAGTCCTTTGGCCATTACAGAAATTAGACCAGAGCCAGGAGTGGTGGCACATGCCTTTAATTCCAGCACTCATGAGGCAGACACGGGGTAAATCTGGAAAATCTGAAGCCAATCTGATCTATATTATGAGTTCTAGGATAATCAGGGCTGCATAGAGACACACGGTCTCAAAGCAAGTAGTCAATTAATTGTATAACAAACCCCAGCATCTGGATCTGTTCCCGAAGTAAATGTGTCATACTCATCACACGATGACATCGACTCGAGATCAAACGTCCCAGCACAGTTCAGGTATGTAGTGTGATTGTGAATGTATAAGTCTACTGCTTTGTAACGCTAACATACCCAGCATCTATACAAAACAATGTAAAGCCTGAGAAGCCACTTACTGCTCTCCTCACTGTGTTTATTTCATATTAGGTTTATATTATATTTAAAATGATTTTTTGTGAATGTGAAAGGAATTTTCCCTTTACTTCACCATCCATCAGCTATGAAGTCATTTGTGGCAGGATAGCTAGAGATAGGCATAAGCCTTGAAGTCAGAAGGGCTAAGGGCATGAGGACGTGAAGTCAGTCGAACTAGGTTTTAATCAGACTTTCCCAGCTTTCCATGTTTAGATTGATTGGAGCAGTCCATGGTCTCTGCGGATTCTCATTTCCTTTTCTGCCAATAGAAAAACAAAGACTGCTGGATTAACTTCGTGGAATCCTAGACTATGCAATGCATGGGCTATAAATTTTGAAAGTGCTTCTTATTCTAAAAACATTATGAATCATTTATAATTGCTAATATCATGTTAAATGAACAATATCAAGCTGAATATCTCTGATATTCATATTTTTCACCCAACATAATAAGCAGTACTATTTTCATCAGGTTAATAATGGAATTATGTGCAAGCAATCTTTAGGGTTAATATTTAAGCCTCAAAGAAAATGGATAATGTCTTTTCTTTTATAAAATGACTCAATCAATGATGGAAATGTCAAGAAAACAGTTAAATGGCTTTGCTTAACTTGCTTTCTTCAAAAGCAAACTGTCGTATTTATTCTGAGACATTGGAGCCTACTATTTAGGTCATTGGGTGTTCTGACTCTCAAGAAATTTGACACTTTAGATTTACTGTTTGTATGCAGTTAGCATTATTGATATCAAGATCATCACATTTCATTTAACTGTTATAATGTCCCTAGAGTATGTGTTGATACTTTTCGGCAATGTAGGAAGCAAGATAGGGATTTTAAATTACTTCTGCTTATCATTATTACATCTATAGGTACGGTGTAATTATAAGTCTATCTTCCTCTTTTATTTCCTTCCTTTATATAAAGCTTGCTTTGATGTTAGATTTCATTTCACATTGTGAATTAGTCTATTTCAAAAGCACATACTATTTTGTCAACACAGATTTTCCAAGCAATGAACATTATATCTGTTATGAAGTATAAACATCTTAATAATGAGATAACAAAAAACAAAAAGACACTCATGCTGATTCTTAAAAGAATGCTTATGGGATGTATGTTGAAAGGTAGAAACTTATTCTTCAAATGGCAGAAAGGCCATGGACTTGTGTCAGCTTGAATTGTTTTCTCCAGAGATGAGCAAATACCATAATTACAAACCCAGGCCAAAAAACAGGGATGCTTCTCCAGGGCAGCAGAAACAAAGATCGGCACTACTTACCAGTCAACCCAGAGAAAATGGTAAGTTTCGGGTTCCTTTTGTCTCCTCCTGATAGACTGACGTGAATGTAGAAACCATGCTATTGTCAGAAACAATGCTTGTTCTTACCTTCTCAGGAGAGTAAGGTGTATTTGCTCTAAAATAATATTAGGAAGTAAAATCAAGTTACAGGTGATGAGATAACATCAAAGAACAATGAAACAAGAATTTTGGGGGTAGTCTACCTTTAAGGAAGAATATCTATAAATAGACCATAGAAAAGAAATTTTTTAAACCATCCAGATATCTTCTTAAACATTATAGGAGCAATAAATTGTAGCACTTTTCAAAGCCCTTTTTGAATGTAGTGGAGACAGTCTCTACTCAAACTGTTTTCAAGTCAGAGTTTTACTGATATTAGAGTTTGTGGTGTTTTATGCAAAGCCTGGTGTGGTCACGCTGCCTATTAGCCCAGGATTTGGTAAGTAGAGGCAAGAGAATTTGGAGGTCAAGGTTATCTTTAGCAGTAAAGAATTCAAGGTCAACTTGATTAAATGAGACACTGTCTCAAGAAATAAGATAGAATAAGTTATTTAAAAAGAAATATTAAAAACTAAACAATATGTTATTAACAAAAGTTATTTTAAGAGGTCATTTTAGGAATTCAATCATGTGATATGTAATAAACAAAGGTGTAGGCTTAAGTAATTGTATACATGATGTCGAAAAGGCATTGAATAAAATGCAGTACAAATTCTCATTTTGAGACATTGATCTTCAAATTTCTATACACATAAATGACTTTTAATATATGTATGAATGTATAAACACAGAGATATATACAAAAATTCCTTATATATTATACTATTAAGTATTAGGAGTATTTTTCAATGTAATTATTAAAATGCAAAAATAGTGTTACCAACATTGTTGAACATTATTTTGATGCTGCTAAATTACTATTCAAGAAAAATTTAAAATGTAATATTGATCACATCAGAATTTAAAAGCAAAACTAACGTATGTGTATGTTATAAATCAAGATATTTGAAACTTGCAAATAGATACACCCTAAATATTAAAATTAGTGGCAATAGAATTTGAATGTAGTCTTGACTAAAAATTAAGACACAAATTGAAATCAATTACTTTTCTAAATAAAATATAAACAAATTATAATGGAAGAAAATTTTCTAGACAAAGATTTTTAAAAAGGTAAAAATAAACTTTAGTATTAAAAGTAATTTAGAAATGACTTTGTTACTTCAAGTTGCTAATAAACAAAGAATAAAGCACATAAAATGGAAATAGAAAGTATTCAAAGATAAAGACAGCATCTTAAAAATAAAATCTTTGTGTGTGTGTACACAGTTAGCATGATTCTATTGGGATGTCAATAGACCATAATTCAATAGTTTCACATTCTTAAAAAGCTCATTTTAAAGTTTTTGCTAAAAATTATTGTTATTATTTTTATTTCTGTGTGTGTGCATGTGTGTGTGTGTGTGTATACACATGTGAGTGCAGGTGCTCATGGAGGACTGAAGAGGTGTCAAATCTCCAGGTGGTGCAAGCACCGGTTGTTGTGAGCTTGGAACAGAACTCTTGAAGAGTAATGAGCACTCTTAAATGATGAGACAACTTTTCAGGCCTTCATTTAAATTCTTAAGGCATAAATGAAGTGCTATCATACCCATACTTCTCTGGAAAGGAAATGTACTGTCAAGGATTGGCACTATGAACTATTCAAGCATTTCATGAAAGTGTGAAAGTTGCCTATGCATGCAATGGGCAGGATGATTGGCAGATGTGTGAATAATGAAAATAGAGTAGAGCCATAATATGCTAATGAATGTACTTTATATAAGTGACAGGGCACAGGTTTATTCTATAAGGAGTGCAGAAAAATTCAGTGTGCATTCTACAACGACTATCTCCTGTAAATCTCATTTTCGACAAATACCATATATACAAAAATTAAATGAATCAAATAACAGAAAATACATGACATTATTTTAAGTGCATTTTATTCATATCTAAAAAATGTGACTCATAAAGGGAAGTTTGAACAAATTAACCTGGAAAAATTAAGCCATTTCCTCTCTGTGAAGACATCATAAATATAAATAATATCTGAAACGTATGCACACAAAATATATGATAAGGTATGGTATTTACCAACTGAGAAGTATGTCAGTACTTTAAGTAACTTGATTTAAAAAAAAAAACAAGAAAATCACCAAAGAAATAAAAAATATTTAAATATAAGTAAAAATAACTTATTCATAAAAGGAAATAAAAACAAAAATATTGCATACTACAGTTATACATTAAAACATATAAATAATCTTAACTACCAAGGAAGATGCAACTGAGCAGAGAATTTAATTTATTTGTGCTACTGTTAAATTAGTGTAAACTTTGTGAACTGAAATTTTCAATCTTTAGAAAAATGTAACATGGATATACCCTTTAATACACTAGGTATCATAAGAAGAAACTTCCCTATAAGAGAACTCAAAAGTGAGTATGAAATATATTACCATTTCTAACACTAAAACTTAACATACAATTGAAATATCCACTGAGAAAATTAAGCCTATTAATAGGCTTTGTGCAAATATCAATGAAAGTGAATACAAATATTTATGCTATTTGACCTCTTTATATGTCAAAATATAGCACAATCCTTGAATATTGACCTAAAAAAACATGCAGAATATTTTTCTAATACCTGAAATGCAATAAGAGTATTCTCTTATAATGATTATAAGATATTTAACAACTCTTGTGTATCTACATAGAAAATGAAATTGAGAAATGTGATTTATTCTCAGAGCAGAAAATAGTGCCATAATCTGTAATCCCACCACTCAGGATCTGAGGATTGAGAACTGCAAATTTGTCTACAGTCTGGGGTTACATAGATAGACTTTGTCTAAAAAAAAAAAAGTTTAAAAAACTTGCAAAGAAACATGGGAGTTGATACCACATTTTGTACTCTCATATTTAAGTGATTTGTAGAGTATTTAGGCTGTTTAAGGAAAATCGCTTTCTTTACCTTTTCGTAAAGATGCATATGAGCATTTATACTAAACAGAAAACCACCAGGGTCGTTAGACCTCCTTTTGCTCTGACTTTTCCTGTTTTTCTTTGACAGTATCTCCATTGTTCGTTAGCCGAATCATTGCTGCAGCCATGGCAATACGCTTCCTCATTATCACAATAATATGGTTTGCCATTTTCATAACTTGTAAGTTAATCAATGGGGTGTAATATGTTATCTTGATTAGACTTCAGAAACACACTGAGAACCATAAAGATGGCTCCACCAGATAAAGATATTTGCTACATAAGACTAACAACCTGAGTTCAATCCCCAGAAACCTCAGAAAGGAGCAAGAACTGACCCCACAAAGTTGTTCTTTGACCTTGATACTTACTCCATGGCACATAGGTGCCCTCACACGCATGTCTGCATGCACTCACGGGGCACACACACACACAGTTTAAGAACTAAAAGATAAAACAAGCACAGAAGCACACACAGCAGCAGCAATAGTGAAAGCATTTTTATTGTAGTGTTGCTGTTCTAAAAACATAAAAGTCACTTTCGTTTGCAGTAGAAGTTACTAACTTTTAAAAATTATAATTATTTTGATAGTGTTATGCAACAACGAGGTTCCAATTTCTTCAAGAGGTGAGTGAATCTTTTTAATATTAAACACAAATTGGAGGCACCTATATATACCAGGATTTAACACATAGTCAAAGGCATTCAAGAGAGAAACATTAAATTTTGGGGTTCTTTCTATAGTACACTCTAAGCCTTATTGTTTTTAACTTAGGGGGCCATGTAATAGGCTGAAGAGAGTGTCATGGTTCTACATTCCTTTAATTCTATCACTTCACAGGTTAAGGCCAGAGGGTCAAGAGTTAACTGCCAACCTTGGCAGTGTAGAGATTTCAAAGCCAGAATAGGTTCCATGAGGCCCTATCTGAAAACAATAATGAATCATGGATAGTTTTTACTTCATCTTATTATATTTTACTTTGATGTGTTTTGTGTTATCTCTTAGAAGCCTGTTCTTTTCTAATGAGAGACAGAATGGGAGTGGATCTGGAGGAAAAGAGAAGTGGAGGAAGTAGAAGGAGTAGGAGAGGGGATATGTTGTATGAAAAAAATTAATTTTCAGTATTTTAAAAACATAATAAATAAAAATATTCTATTTTAAATAAAAGAACAAATAAAAATAGTAGAAAATTCTTAATTTGGGGTCTCTCCTCCCTTTATATTAAAATGGTACAATTATTTAGAATTTCAGAGTTGTAACAGGAAGTGTGTTTAACTTGCCTACATAAAATCTGCTTCATTAATCAGGTGTGCACAGACCTCATCTGTTCTCTTTCTAGACAGTCACTGTACCCAATGCCCTGACGACTGGATATGTTATAGAAACAACTGCTACCAGTTTTTTAATGAGAGCAAAAGCTGGAACCAGAGCCAAGCTTCGTGTTTGTCTCAAAATTCTACCCTCTTGAAGATATACAGTAAAGAGGACCAGGTTGCATATTTAATTCCTACTAATTCTTTTTTTTAATTATTTAAAATAATTTTAAAATTTGAATATATTTTTGGTCACATTCGTCCCCTCTTCCAAATCTTTCCATAATGGAAAGAAAAATTTTTAAATGGCAAATCTTTACTGAAAATCAAAGTCTTGTCTGCCAGCATCCACACTGATCAAACCAATATACACAATACTATGAAAGTTTAACAGTAACATGATAAACAAAAATTTCCTGGCTGTGCTGAACACACATTTGCTGCCTTTTACATAGTAGCTGTTTAAATTCTCACAGTCATATTTCTAAGCAGATGAGAACAAGATACTCAAGAAATTTTGATCAGGATCAAATGTCCAATCTTATGTGCACCTTTTCCAGGAACATGAACTCTGTGTCCATATCTGATGACAGATCTTCAGTAAGAATCTCTCTAAGGTTGAACATTTCCATCCTTTCAGTTATCCCAACATATCCACTATGCATAGAGTTGTATGAGGATAATTTCAGAGTTCACCTTGTATTATCTTCAACCTAGTCAAAAGTTTATGCTTTAAACCACAACACTATTAATATGTCCTAACTGTAAGATGCATAAAATGAGTGTGTATTGGGAAGATAAAGTGAAATTCGGGACTTACTAATATATTAATGGCACTTTTGAGTTTCATTTCTGGGTTTCTTTCTTGTTGCATTGATGAAATGCAATTACTTGGTGGACAATATAGAATTGCTACCTGTGCAATCACTAAGTTCATGATGAAACTCAAAACAGAGACTGAACCAAAGTGGAAATTGTACATTGGCGTAAATTCAGTTAAATATGTTAGACTATTAGAATTAGAAGTGACTCAGAATAGCTTAAAGAATGATTTGACTTCTGAACAGAAATCACCAAATCAGGCTTGTGTAAATATAAATAAATGACTCAACCTTTTGTGTTTCATAATTTATAAGATTAGAACAGGCAAACACACATGAGGTAGGTAACTCACTTGAGCATGAACACAGAACATACAAGAAGCATGAAGATGTTCGAATACCCACTCCAAACAATACTGATAAAAAAAATCTGAGGAAGTAGGAGCTGGAGAGAGGGCTCATAGAACTAAAGTATTTCTTTTGAAAACTTGAGAACCAAACATGAACCCCACAGCATCTATTAGGCATTGCTGGACATGTCTGTAACCCCAGCACCAGGGTTAGAGACAGGTAGATCCCCCACGCTCCTGGCCAGACAGCATAGGTGAAAAGGTGAATTTTTGCTTCAGTGAGGGATCATGTCTCAAGGCAATAGGCAGGGAGCAATGGAGAAAGATACCGGGTATCTTGTCCTACCTTCTGTGTGAAGAATGAGCTGCGACACACTCATAAGCATACACAATATACAACTCTTGACCACCTCCAAACAGAGAAAAATTAAGAGAGTCAAGATACTTTGCCAGCACCTGTGGCTAAATGAGAATTGGGCTGGTCACTGAAAAATGCATCCTTCCCCAAGTGGAAAGTGAGTAATGTGGCTTTGTGTTTCTAATGTTCTGAGCACGGGTTTCATCTCTACTTTTCTTGTGGTTTCTAACAGGATTTCTTTAAGCTGGTGAAGTCGTACCACTGGATGGGACTATTCCAAACGCAAGCAAATGGCTCTTGGCAGTGGGAAGATGGATCCACTCTCTCATCCAACGAGTGAGTCTCAAACCAGCAGGGTTTGAGCTGGATATTTGTTCAGTTGTCCATATGAAAACTCATTTTTCAGTTTCATTTTCACAATCTGATGCATTTTCATAGTCTAATAGATTTAGAAAAAATATTTAGAGCCTAAATTTAAAGCACAGGGAGAATGGCAGAGTAGCATAAATTGATGACTATGGGCTAAGTACTGAGAAAGACATAGATCATATCATGTCCATTTTATAGATACAAGGCTGAAGCCTTTATTTGTGACTAATATTATGCAGATAAAACTGACATACAATAAACTTTACTATTCCATCCCGAGGCCTCCTTTCTGTTTTTATGCTTACAGATATTTTAAAATAAGAAGTAACTATTGCTAGCTGTAGTCACTCTATTGTAGAATGACAGAAAAGATGTAACAAATGCATGAGGCCCAGATTTGCTAAATACCTTTATATGATCAATATGCGACATTTACATGTATCACATTATGAGGTTATGCCTCACAAATACAAACAATTATAGTGACAATTTAAAAATTAATAATAATAGATGCTTTAATGTGCTTGGGTTGAAACCCACAGAGAAATTTTCGAATAGAAATGTCCCTGCAGGTACCAACTGTTTGTATCTATACCAATCATATTTCATACCTCTTCCTGTTAAATGAGGATAACATCAAATCATTGTCTCTTTAGTTTTCAATTTCACACTGAAGTGACATAATTTTCTTGGGTCTTCTATTTCTAACTTTTTCTTAGAAGAAGAAAAAGTTCATTTATTGTATTAAATTGTGGAATTTTCAATGTCAAGAGAAAAGTAAAACACACATATTCGCATATATAAACATGTGTGAGCACACATATACCACGCTACATCACCACATAAAACACACATGCATGTGCACACACGCATACATGCACAACACACATGCATGCATGTATATGCATGTACATTTATGTGCATACATGTGGATGTGTGTTGAAGATTTTACAAATACTTTTGATTGTTTAACAAATAATATTGTTTATGCAGTCACCCTTTGGTAGCCATGGGTGACTGATTCCAAAGTCTCACTTTCTCCACAGATACTGAATTCCATGAACGATCATCATCTTTATTCAGAATGGCACAGAATCTGTTTGTAGACTATGGACAATTCTGTACAATTTAAATCATTATAATATTTATATTATATATTTTATATATTATATAATTATATATTTATAATGTATAATTGCATATATTATATATTGTACATATTATATATCACCAAGTGGAATGTAAGTGTTATGTAAACAATTCTCACACTAATTATTTAGGAAATCAGGATAAGATACAAGAACGTCTTCAGTACAGATGTGGGCTTTGTTTAGAGTACTTATTATCTGTAGTCCATTTTATCTGACAATGGTAATCTGCTTACTTTAGAAAATTGCTTATTTTTACAAAAAAAAACACTACAGCAATTGAATTCTAAGTTTAGTTCTAATAAAAATATCTATTATCAAATAAGTATTTTGAAACTTTTTTACTCAGATATATAGAGAGAATTTATAATTCTGAGGTGATTAATTTCTGATATGAGTACAAGAGTTGGGAAGTTGGTGCATGCCCTTAATCCCAGCACTTTGGAGGCAGAGGCAGGTAGATCGCTGAGCTCAAGGCCATCCACGTCTATTTAGAGAATTCCAGTACAGCCAGGGCTAAGCAGAGAAACACTGTCTCAAAAAACAAAAACAAAACAAGAACAAGAACAAAAATTTAAATATATATATATAACTTTTATTTTTACTATCTGAATTGGCTCTATTTTGTATGTGTATAAGTTAAGAAGGCTAGATGCCAGTTCAAGCACTAGGGGTAAATCCTGGTCCCACTGCCAGTGGCCCTACAGACTGTCCAAGCCTCACAACTGTCTCCCACATTCAGTTGGCCTAATTTGGTCTCATTCAGGTTTACCCCCTATCAGTCCAGAATCAATCAGCTCTCACGAGCACAGGTCAGCTGTTTCTGTGGATATTACCATCATGGCCTTGACCCCTTTGCTTATATTATTGCTCCTTCCTCTCTTGGGCTGACCTCAGGTAGCTTGGCCCAGTGCTTCACTGTAGATCTCTGTGTCTGCTTCCGTCAGTTGTTGGTTGAAGGTTCTATGATGACAATTAAGGTAGTCATCAGTCTGATTACAGAGGAAGGCCAATTTAGGCATCCTCTCCACTGTTGCTTAGAGTCTTAGCTGGGGTCATCCTTAAGGATTCTTAGGAATTTCCCTAGTACTATGCTTCTCCATAGCCCTTTAATGGCTCCCTTAATCAAGATATCTCTTTTCTTTCTGTCCCTCGCTGTCCACATTCTTTTTGGTGGGATACCTTGCTCAGCCTGGATACAGGGACAGGACCTTCGTCTTTCCTCAAAGTGAAATATCAGATTTTGTTGATTCCCCATGGGAAATCTTACCATCTCTGAGAAGTGGATAGGAAGGTGTGGTTAGGGGAAGGTGGAGGAATCAGGAGAATGGGAGGGAGTGGAAACAAGGATAGCTACGCAAAATGAGAAAAGATTGTATTAAAAATTCTTAATAAAAAATGAAAAAATAATTAAGAGGGCTAAACATGGTACTAAAATAATGCAAAATATTTTTGAAATTCCCACATTCAAATTCTATAAGATTCCATGTTTTTATCCTTAATCAAGCCAAGTCTGCATGTCACATGATGTTCTCTCTTTCCTAGGTTAACATTGGTAGAAATGCAGAGAGGATCCTGTGCTGTCTATGGCTCCAGTTTTAAGGCCTACACAGAAGATTGCTCAGCTCTAAACACATACATCTGCATGAAGAAGGCAGTGTAAGGACTTCATTAACTATCTTGGCAACAGCCAGGACAAGAGAAGGGATTATACCGGGAGAAACTGGGACTAAAAGAAAGAGACCGAACATACACGCAAGACAAAACAGCAGGCCTTCTCCTTCCAGAAACAAGCCACAGAACAATTAGATGAACATTCTGTTTCCCATAAAACAAAGGACACTAACTCAAAGATCATCAAGGCGGCCATTCACACCTTTCTCCAATCTGCTTAGAATGTGGTGAGGAAGGAGGCAAGGAGGAGCCTCGATTTCAAAATGGGACCAACAGATCAAACCGGACTCGCTGAACATAGGACAATGAGGACTACTGAGAACTCAAGAACAATGGCAATGGGTTTTTGATCCTACTGCACGTACTGGCTTTGTGGGAGCCTAGGCAGTTTGGATGCTCATCTTACTAGTCCTGGTGGGGGCAGGGAATCCTGATTGCTCTTTGGGCTGAGGAGGGAAGGGGACTTGACAGGGGGAGGGGGAGGGAAATGGGAGGCGGTGGCGGGAGGAGGCAGAAATATTTAATAAATAATAAATTAATAAATAAATAAAAATTTTTAAAAAAATGGGACCAACACATGAGAGAGCTGAGAGAGTAGAAGAGGGCAACCCCATAGCACTCTGGCAGTCTAAACTCCAGCACTGTAGAAAACAGCACACTGAGTGGGGCTTCAGCGGTACCACAGGATAATCGGCACTGTTGCCAGCAATGTTGCTGTCCCAGTGGTTCAAGAAAGTGGGCTTCTGTCTGGGCAGGCACGGTTTGATTAAGGGAAAGAAGGACTGCTTTGGGATCTTGAAGATTGCTCATCTTGCTAATTTTTGTGTTTTCTTGTGACTCCCCTACCCCTTTTTTCTTGTGTTTCCTGTTGAAATGATAATGGCTATTTGAAGACCAGCCTCACCATTGTATTTTGAAAATACATGGCTTGTTTCACTTTACAAGTGACAACTAGAAAAGAAGGTTGACTGTCTGATTTGTGTCTGACTTGGGTCAAATTTAGATGAGTCCTTGGATCTGAAGTTTGAAAGGTGATGCTGGAAGGAGTTAAGATGGAATGAGTGAGGAAGTGAATTTCTGGGACCATTAGGTATAATGTTATACACTGAATGTTTGTGCCCATCCAAACTTCATATTTGAAATTCAACTCGGTATTATTTCAATACTAGGAGACAAGCATTGGAACATAATGTTTTAAATCACAGGAGTGAAGCTTTGTGTGTGGGATTGTCTCTTAGGAAAACACCCACAAAGTCTTCTCTCTCTTCTTTTGGCCACAAGAGAATACAGGAAACTTTTGATATATGACCTATAAGGTATCCCTCACCAAACCCAACAGATGCAGTTACCCTGGTCTTAGATTTCTAGGCTTCATAATTGTGAGAAATGGATTTCACAACTTGTCTGGTAGTTTATAATAGTACCCCCAAAAAGCTGAAACCAGAGAGGAAGAGAGCCAGATATTAGGTCTTACTGTCATTTAAAAAGGAGTGCTGGGGAAGTGAGCTCAGAGGTGAAAAGCACTGGGTGCCATTCTCATCACCTACATGAGAGCTCACACCGTCTGTGACTCCAGTTCCACAGGATCCACCTGCAGCGCATGGTGTACATACCAGCATGAAGACAGCACTCGCACAGAAAATAAGAATAAATCTGAAAGTAGAAAGCTTTATAATATTGTTGCTTAATATTTTGCAGCATGGAAAACATTCTAAATCAATAGAGAGGTAAAAATAATTCTATACAGGTCTCGTCTGGATGCTAGTGATGTGACATTCGCAGTTGTAAGTCAAGAGAATAAACACATGCTTGCTTGCTCTCAGAAAAAAAAAATAAATAATTCTATAGAATGTCATACATAAGTCAAATGGGAAATAGCAACAGAAAAGCAAGCATAGATCCTAGCTTTCTAAGAGGTTATAGCAAACGTGAGGAGCCTTAGTCTGTTTTAAATTTTTTTGTGACTCATTAGAAACCTGAGATTTACCTTAGGTATCACCTGAATGAGGAATATCCCCAAAGGCCACAGGTTTATGCAAGGAATAACAAATAAGACCCATATTTTACAGAGTAGCAGCAAGGATCCTTGCTATCTTTACCTCTAAGGAGCTGGTGGATACAATCCGCCATGAAGCATCTGCAACCACACAAGATCCTTCATTTAAGCTTACAGCCCAATGTCTAGCTAACAACATGTGCAGTAGAATGAGTCTGAAGTTCAAGGTAAAGAAGAGTCTACCTGCCACACTTCATTTTACGAGTCTAGTGTGAATCCATTGTGCAATAGAGCCACCTGTTTTTTTTTTTTTAAGAAAATAATTTCAACTCGCCCCTTAAGAATTTTTCACACACAGCCTGAAAAGTAAAACAGGAATTACAAAACAGCGATACTAGAGACTAAGGGCAATTATTAGCTAGCAGTATCTTAGGATTCAGGTGACCCAGGCGAGGGGTTGTATTCTGTTTCATTGAATAATTAACAAAAGTCAATCTTAAACTCACAAGAGAAAAAAAATAGGGTGTTCAAATGTTCCAGACACTGTATTCAATTTAAAGATTCAAAAAGTGACCAATAAAATCCCTGTTACTTCCCAGTACTCAATTTAGACAGCCATAAAACATAAAAGCCAGACTAGCGTGCAAGGAAGGCTGATACAATAGGCTATAGAAGAGTGAAATTTTGTTCTGATAGCAGTGTCAGTAACTTTACCAGAACTAGGGGTTTTAAAAAGACATTTTAATGAAGAAAACATGAGAAAAATGAATAAAGTATTTAGATATATTTCATGATGTGCTTAGAAAATTACTTGATATTTCTGTAATAGTCACCTCCAGTTTCATGCAGAGAGTGTTATACTTGGTCAGGAAGTTGAGGTAATTTTGAAATGTAAACAGATTCCACTGTGGCTGGGGGAAAGCCAACATAACATGCTGTGGTTATGTTTGAATAGATAAGCTCTCCAGACAAGTGAGTCACAGGCATGAAGGCAGTTGCCATGAGATGTAGTCGGTACTTTTCTACAGGATCATTGTTCCCCATTAATGACCTAGAGACATTATTAATTATGAAACCTTGGCCTTAACATGTTCTTGTTCCTAACTAGTTCTTTTAACTTAAATTAACTCATGATTTCATTCTATGTTTTTTTACATGATTACCTTTCTGCTTCTTCTCTGTCTTTCTGGCAACTCCTCCTTTCTCTTTCCAGAGACATTTCTGTCCCCAGAGGTCTTGCCTAGCCTGTTCCTGACTAGCTAATGTCCATTTAACTCTTTATTAAATGGTGACACATCTTCACCCAATGTAGAGGAATATTGCACAATAATTAAAGCAGTTTAAATCTTTACCCAAATTTCCAATACTATGTGAAGAACTGCCTTGAAATTTAGGACTTCTTGTAGCCCCAGATGAAGAGACAAAGCATTCACTTGACAATGAGTTTCTCTTGAGTTCCCACCGCTGTTCTATGGAATGATTGGAATAGAATTGACCCTGATCATATATGTTCTCTGTCTATCACAGAGGTGCAGGGCCTGCTAAGGTCTGAGAATGTCAGAGAGCTCTAAAGAGGACCCTCTGATTCTAGAGTGAAAAAAAGCCCTACTTCCAGGAGTACTGATGGACAGAACTCAGTTCTAGATTTAGGAAGTCACTATAGAATCTTCATGCAGCAACTGATGGAAATAGAGGCAGAAACCAACAGCAGAGCACTGGACTGAGCTTTCAAAGTCTAGTTGAAGAGTAGGAGGAGTGAGAAAATGAGCAAAGAGGTCTAGACCATGATGGGGACACCCAGTGAAACAGTTTACCTGAGCTAATAATGGAAGCTCACCAGCTCCAGCTGGACAGGAAAGGAAACAACGCAGATCCTAACTAGTCCCTCTGAATGTGGGTGATAGTTGTATAGCTGGGACAGACTGTAGGTCCACTGGTGGTGGTACCAAGATTTATCTCTACTGCTTCTACTGACTTTTTTGGAACCAATTCTCTTTGGATGGATACATTGCTTAGCCTAGATATAGTAGGGAGGGCCTTGGAACTTCCCCAAAGCCTTGTGCATTACCCTCTCTGAGGAGTGGACTTGGAGGGAAGGTGGAGGGGTAGGTGAAGGGAATGGGAGGAGCAAGAACTGGGATTAGTATGTAAAATGAAAAAAGATAGCTTGTTTTCTTTTGAAAAAATAATAAAAAAATTAATGTCTCTCAGAGACCAGTAATGGAAGGGACTTTATTGAAGCATTAGCATACCCACAAGAACAGAAGTCTAATGAGTTAACATCTTTCTTCAAAGTGCTTATAACAGCAGGAAAGAGAAACAGAGAAAGGGTGGATGGGATTCCGCAGTATCTATCCTGGCTATCTTGATCTGGCTGTGTTGATAATACTTTGGGCCTTTATCTCAGAATCCTCCACACAGTGCTATGGGAAGAACAAAGATGTCTGTTACTTAGCTGCTTCTTCTTCTTCTTCTTCTTCTTCTTCTTCTTCTTCTTCTTCTTCTACTACTACTTCTCCTCCTCCTCCTCCTCCTCCTCCTCTTCCTCCTTTTCTGCCTCCTCCTCCTACTGCTTCTCCTTCTTCTTTTCCTTAGAATGCTCACCAATCAGACCTGTTGTTCTTAACATACAAAGCAATTGTCAGAAATGAAAATCCAGGAAATGCCAGGTGTGGCAGCACATGCCTTTAATCCCAGCACTCGTGAGACAGGAGCAAGCAGGTTTCTATAGTTTCGAGGCCAGTCAGTTAATATAGTGAGTTTAAGACCAGTCAAGGATGCATAGTGAGATTCTATTTCATAAAAATAAGCAATAGCCCAGGAGAGATCAGAAACAATGAAGAGAAACAAGATGGCTTCAGAAAGAAAATATATTTAGCCAGTTAGTACCTGAGAACTCCAATGTTTTCCTCCCCTGAATTTTTCCTGAGTAAAGGATGGTAATTTGTTTCTTTTTGGGAACAGACACAAACCCGTCAAGTGTCCTGATTCTAGGACAAATGTAAAGACAAGCAGCCAGTGTCAAAACATCCAAACATGCTGACTGCTCTACACCACTTTGGGGCCTTACCCCTAGAACGGCATGGGAAAAGGAGCTCAGCTGCTTTCAGGGAAAAACAGAGTCCCAGGCTGACCATACTCCACTTTGATAATAGTTAACATTAGCTTCTAGAAGTGAAGCAGGAAACCATCTTGTGACCTGGACTCCACAAGTGGTATAAAGTACAAGACCTCAACTGGCAAACAGGAAATTGCTTCACATGTGAGATCTCACTGATACCAGGC